TTAATCCTGATGATGAATACCACTGCATTCTCCTACACTTGCTGGTTTAGAATTCAGAGCACATTCCCTCATTTCACTAAGAAGGACTACCTGTATCAGCAGAACCAAACCCTGTGGGCAGAAGGATGCACTGGTTGTAGGAAATTGTAGGATTTATTATGCATAGAGTTTCTGCAGAGCTGCCCCTAATTCTGTTGAAGCAGGTTTTTGGGAGGAGACCATGTTTATGAAGTCCTCACCTGACTCTGCCCACCAGAGTTTGAAAGCCATGCAGGTACAGCACAATGGAAAAACACAGACAGGAAATTCTTATTCTGCCAAATTAGCCTGATCAAGTCTTGGTGGAAACTAGGTTGCCTAGAAACCTGGATATACTCACCCTCCCTGCTAACCAACTAAAGCCTTCGGATCTGCTGGAACAAGAATCTGCTTTTTGTCTTAAGGTGAGGCTTGCATGAGCAAATGACAGAGGACTTAATAAGCTTGTCTTACTTTGTAGATAAGCATACTATCTATTATTAACTCTTTGTGCTTGATTTCACTTTAATAAAAGCCGGTATGTTGGTCAAGACTTTTCAGTTAGTGAATACCCCAAATTCCTTCTCTAGATCAATATGTAAATCAGAGGAACCTATAGCCACTTGTAATTGGAAAACAAAATTTATATAAGAATAACAAAAGTGGCTCCATGTGTGCATCCAAAAGGCATTCAAGACCGAGCAAAACAATTGTTTATACAATTAAGGAGGTAAGTCTTCTTACTTTGACAATTTCCCTGTGATTAACTTATTGGACAGGTATTAGTTAAAGTGTGAGGAATGATATTTGATATTTGAGAAGATAGCAATGCTATCATTATGTTTATAGAAGAAAGAGCATATCTCCTTCTAACACATAACACATTTAGCCATTTAGTTAAAATACAAACACTCTGGAAAACAGGCCCTGTTAAAAAAAGTGAAGAACATGGTCTTCAAAGCATATAAGCATACCTGACAGCCTGAAAGGTAAACATGGTGCCATGATATATATGTGGATCAGTTTTGTAATTTTTTTGTTCAAAGTACATCCTTGGACCACATCCCACAATATAATACATTTGCAGCTCAACTCTACTATTCCAAAGCCTTCTGAAACACACTGGTGCAGTTAAATTTCTTTATCCTATTAGTCATGCTCTGATGTAGAACCTACGTGGGAGTTTCTAGACTCCACAGCCTGCTTCTCCTGATAAATGAAACCTACACTCAGACAAGCTATTGGATCTTATTTTCCAATGTGCAATATTTTAGTTGATAAGCTAATACAAACCAACATTTATTAATCTAGTCAACACCTTCTTTGAACATATTTCTCATTTTTATTTTGGTGGGGAGGGATATTAATGAAAATGAGCAGTCAAGTAATGATCTATATTTCATTAGTGCCTCCCAATCCTTTGCAGAAGAAAAACAAAACAAAACGCTTTCTTTTAACACACAGTGTTGTTCATGGTGGAACCGCAGCCAGATTCCCTGGACTCCATCGGATCCCAAAAGAGTGGTGGTCCCTTGGTCTTCCAGTGCCCTGAGACCTTGAGCCCTGTCTTTCCAAAATGCCCTTGGCTTCTTCTGAAAGAATCATTCCAGAATGATTCCAGTCAATGCCCAATGCCTTTCCATGAAAGCCCTCTCGAAATCCAAATGAAAGTCACTGAACTATCCCAAGTCATTAATCCTCAGGGATTTCTATTCCCTCCAGCTGCTTGGCGTTTTCTGACCTTCCCTTATCTTAGCTTCTGGAGCTCAGCTGGATCTTTCATCCTGCATTTTTTCTACAGTTCACTACAGAGCCAACTGGAAGCAAGCAAAGATGGAGTTGCCTATGGGTAGATTATTTTCCATGTTCTAACCCCCTCCCCAAAGGCATCATTTTAAAATGTGCTAATTCATGAGAAGCATGGGGCTGGGGGAGGGGAGGCAAGGCCTAGATTACTAAAAATAAGATAAAATGATCTGTAGAAATCAGATTTGAACTGTACTGTTTTATGGCAGTATTTGTATCATTGAAATATTTTCTTACACATAATTCAGCTAAATCTGCATAATAACGAGATTAAAACTAACAGATCTGTCTGCTTCTTTTATGTTTGGGAAATGTAGGCTTTAAATTTTATACATTATTCGTATTTTTAAATTTCTCTTATTCCTTAGATTGCGGCATACTCCTAATTTGAGTCCTCACTGAAATTTGTGTACTTCTGATTTTGGATGTTGAAAGGAAAATGTATCAGTATGATTAAGAGTGAATTCTATCATGTTTCAAGCATTCAGAACATTAAAAAAATTAAATATCACAAAATAAGGGACTGGTAATACAAAAATAAAACGGTCATTTTTAATACATCAGTAACACAAAATGAAAAATCATTGGGGAATAGAACTAGTTCTTACATCTAGTGTGGCAATGGCGATTTTCTGGGGACAGTGCCTTTGTTTCACTGGGTGCCAGGAATGCTTGGGCTCCCTGGACCTTCCTGCCGCCTACTCTCACAGGCCCTTAGTAGGCACTACAAGTGTGAGCCTCCGTGCCTGGCTCTAGGACTTTTCCAATTGCAGTGTCGCAATACACAGACAGCATTTGTAAGAGAATCATTTCGTGTGAATATATTCACACACACACACACACACACACACACACACACACATTTTTGTTGATGAAGTGCCAGGACGACTGAGGTCAACACAAGTAAAGTGTCGATGGTTCCGGGAAACAATCGGGTTCATAAAAACCAATGTTCATAGACGTATGAAGAAAAATGCTTGCAAGAGTCAGCAATCCTACGCACTGAAATCCAAAGTGCTAGGATGGCACTGCTTTACCCAGTGGCCTGTGAGACGTTAGCGGACATCCGACCATCCACCTGGCCTGGGGCAAGCGTGGCAGTGGGTGGCGCGGGCATGCGCTCCAGTGTGCCCAGAGTCCCGCGCCCCCGGTCTGCAGCTTCTGCTTCCCATTGGAAACACCCAGTCCCTCAGCACCCCGACCCATTAGCCGGGAAGTCTCACCCTTGGCTTTCTCACGTGGTTCGCTCAGACCTGGGGGGGCCCTGATTCAAGAGGGCTGAGCTCTGTGCGCCCAGTGGGTGGATCACTCCGAAACGCGCGCGCGTGTGCTTGAGGCAGGGCCGGGCATCGCGCGCACCTTTCCACCCCACGACTACGCCGGACACAGAGTCTTCTGATCACAGGAGCACCCCCACCCCGGGGGGAGGGTTATCCGGCAAGGAGGGGACCCCAGGATTTCCCCAGCACGTCTGTAAACTCCTAGAGCAGACGCTAAGGGGCACCAGAGCCCCGGACTGCAGCCAGCGCGCCGCCCCTGTCCGGCGCCCCCCACCCCGACCCCTCCCGCCGCCCCACGCCGCTCGGCGGGGCGGAGGGGAGCGCCTCTTGGGGGCGGCCGATCGGCCACCGCTGGGGGACGAGGCGCGGCGAGTTGGGCGCCCCGGCAAGCTCGCGTCTTTCCCGCCCTCCCCGCATCTCCACGGCTCTCTTGAGCACAGGAGAACTCGGGTGGAAGTGCGTGTGCCTGGACGCAGGTCGCGGTCCCGAGCTGCGCTCGCGGACACGCGAAGATACGCGCGGACACACCATACACGCACGCGGTGCCCCGACGCCAGACGCTCATACACTCAGCCACGCGAGCGCGCACCGGCCCAGGGCGCAGAGAGCCCCGCACTGCGCGCACCGCGGAACGCGGAGGTTGCAGGGCGCCCGGGGGTGGGGGACCGTGTCCGTCCAGGGGTGCCCCGCACGTGGTCAGGCTGCCAATGTCACCTCGCCCCTCCCGTGTCCTCCATCCCCCGGCTGAAGTCCATCACCCCCAGTCCTCCAGGCCTACCCAGCAGCCGGGAGGGAGGGCGACACCCCCACCTCAGGCCCCACCCGGGACCTCCGAGCGCCTCCTCCATCCCAGACTTTCCCCCAGCGGACACGACCGACGGGCGGTGACCGAGGCGGCCGAGGGGCGTGGCGTGGCGTGGCGTGGCGGGCCGGGGGCCGGGGCGCGCTCAGCCCCCTTCCCTCCCTCCCCACCACGCCGCGTCCTCCGCGCCCTCCTCCCCGGGCCCCGCCGCCGCCGCCACTGCGCCAGGATGGAGAGACCTCGGCGCGGGAGGAGATGACGCACAGCCCGGCGCTCCCCCCAAAAAAGTGGCTCTCCGGGACGAAGATGGCGGCAACTTAGCCCGGGGGGCCTGAAGATGACCGCGGGCTCCGGAGGCCTGGCGCAGGCGATTCGGCCCCGAGTACCCGGGGAGGCGGTGGCGGCGGCGCCCGCGGGCAGACCCG